ATCTCTCAAGAGGTAAACTACAAACAAGTTTCAGCTACTCCAGATATTTTTCAGGATCTAGGTTAAATATCCTCAGGTGCTAATAGCAGCAATCATCATCATCAAAAAGAAGCTGCATCTTTCAGCTCCTTAACTGAACTGTTGAGCTAATGAACTTTCCTCCTATAAATCCCTCTGCCTGCATTCTCATCTCCATAATAACCTCACCTCCTCTGTTTCTCCTCTATCATCACCTTCTCAATGTTTCTGAGTACATCTCTGATGAAACCTTTAGGTGCCTCCCGTTTATCCCCTTTCCTCCCTCCTTTCCCCCACAGCTCTCCTCCATAGGAGAGGCAGCACGTGCTGCTGATGGTTCTACTATATCCCTATTGATCGGCTAACATTGGGTCAAAAAGAACAAGCAACAAATCAACCTACATCTATGTCAAGTACTTTTCTCTTAACACTACAGAAGTATCTCACTGAACTGCTTGACCAGTGGTTGACATGCAGTTGACCATTTATGCAGTCATCAATTCTCTAACTGTTGAAGAAACTCCAGGATTTGGGAGTCTTCCAGCATTTAGTGTATTTTGCATCTGTTTCTATGTATGAAATTTGGACGTCGAGAAATTACAATTCTAAAATCAGAGGATGTATGAAACCGAAACACTACTCTGCAATATTCTGTTAAAAAGCATTCAACAAGAATACACACTGGCCCAGGAAAACCGTGCATTTCCTAAGAGCGGTAAGCTTTTAGAGATACACCATTGGACAAAAAAAAAAACAACTAGTTGAAGTGCATCTTCATTTACTGCTTCATTAGCTTTCAGAGTAAGCAGTTCTGTCCTACAGACTGATGAGTATGCCAACCTGAACAAAATTACAACTATAAAAAGAATATTTATATTTTGATGAGTCTCAGACAAATGGCAATATTATGAAGGATTTGTATACTCTCATAGAGGTGGGTGATACCTGGCTAGAGTCAGAACAACACACAAACTAGGAAAATGCTTTCAGTTCCTTTATTCAGAAGGATTAAGAAGTTTGTCACAGCTGAGTAGAAGTTTAAATATCAAAGCAAAGCCTGTACAAAGGTTTCCTCCCCCTCCCCTTTGCGTTCTTGACTTTCCAGTCTTGAAAGAAAGTATTATTCACAAAAAGCTGGGGACAGACGCTCCCATGCAACATAAACTGAACAACACTGTAAACTAAGCAGATCTATGAATGCAAATAATAGCAGCACTATCTTTTAAGCTTACCTGACAATAAATTTTGTAGACATCACAAATCATTACAGAACTTAGTCACTGTGCTCTTAAAGGTTTTGAGGGAAGTTTGACGCAATTAGAGGGAAAAAACATCCCAAGTAATCAATTTGGAAATAGGCATTTGTTTTACCAAAGGAAAGTGTCAGAACTACAAGTGTCAAACAGCACTCAGGCATTACATTCATGTTAATTAAGGACTGTCAAGGTAACCACATAACTGAAAGTCAGTTTAATCTCTACAAAAGCATACTAAAATATAAAGGGATGACAGCATAGTTACCTGACATTATTTGCACTGTCTGCAGTGCTGACCTTTTTTTTTTTTTCTTCCAGTTTATTTAGAAAACTTCAGGACAAATTCAGCTCCCTTGTAAATACCTTGGACAGCTGAGTGTGCTTTTCATTTCTTATTGACTTCATCTGTGGCAACAAGAGACTAAAAATAACCCTTGTTCCATAACACAAACCCAGTCTGCTAGTGAAGGTCTGCTAATAAGCATACACTATTGCTCTCTTCACTACCGTAGGAAAAAGAAGCAACTGCAACATAATGCTCCTCATGGTCTGCAGAGATCAAACAGCAGCAAGACTTAAAGAGTCAAGTCAACCAAGGCAAGTAAGAAATCTTCCCAAGGCATATGGTTATCAGCTTCTACAGAACCAAAACATTTATTTTAAAAAGTCTCATTTATATTTTCACAGGCACAGGGCTACTTAAAATAATATAGTATTCAAATCATTATGTTCCATCTTCCTAGAAATTCTCAGATCAAATTATGATCTCAAGCCATGCTACAGATGTCAATATTTACAGATCCCTAGCATGGTTCAGATTTAGCTTTAACTATGACTTCATCCTATGTTCCCTGGGAGCTCCCAGGTCCATCATCCCTCTACATCCCCATCTTTTTTTTTTTTTCCCCCCCCAAACTTAAAAGCCTTGCCAATTTTACAACTGACTAGAAACTTCTCATTAGAGATATTAATCAAGTTCTCTCTGCTGTTGCGGCATAAACATTGTTTTTCCAGTACTTCTGTATAAGCTATATCCATTACCACACAAACAGACCCAACTTCTATTTTAAGTAAATCAAGTACGATGGTCAGAGCTCCACTGCAGAAACCTGAAGACCTGAAAGTATGCTTTTTCTTCCCCAAACACTTCTGAATGTTTTGAATTCTATAGCTCTGTCAGACATCTGCTAAACAGCAACTGCAAAATACAGAAAAGGTTGCTTCATAACCACTACAAAGTTAAACTGGGCAGAGTGGCAGGATTCATCATACCACTGTGCAGGAAGAAAACAAGAAAACCAGCAGTCCTGCCTGGCCTCATTCAGGAGGTTCTAAGACAAGGAGAAAACTAGAACTTCTCCTTCAGTGGCCACAGTGGCCTCCATGTCTGGAACGGCACTCGTATTTCAGTCAAATTAAATCTAAGTCTAACTCAAACTGGAAAAAAAAGGAAGGTTTGTAGGATATATTTCTCAGTATGGCCTTCCTCTTAGCTACGGGTGTGGGGTAGAAATAATCTTTTTTTTACACTCAGAATTTTTTTCCTCTTCCAATATAAAATGCACTAAAATCCACACACAAAGTCAAATCAGAGAGATTTCTTCCTCCGAGGTAAAAGTTGGATTTTCTAAAAAGTTAATGAGCTATTTAAAGGTACATTACTAAAAAAAGATTTTAGAGAAGTGCAAGAAAAGATGGAAAATTATTCTTTATGTTCTAGAGCAAAAACACCCAAAACTATATGTCAGGACCCATCTCCACTAGCCATCATACAGAATACAAAACAAGAATGCAGACAAGGAAAGAAAACATTGCCTATGCAAAAGAAATAGGGGAGAAAAAGCCATTGAAAATGGCATGCAAAAGAGATTTGACTATATCTTTCCTATAACAGGTGTATAAGTTTCATTGAAAAGGGATAAAGGAAGACAAGTATCACAAGCTTCAATTTTAAGGCCTTAAAAAGGAAGTTCACTGACCAGATTACTACTAAACACACAAATGCTTATTAAGTACACAACTGTTTATTCTGCCAATCCAAGAGTTAGGTATTATGGCAATAACTATGCAATTTTAATGGAAAACCCATAACAGTTGCTATTAAGAGCTCATCTTTTGGTTGTGTAATCGAGAAGCTGGTACAGGGTGGCTCCAGCTGCTTTTAGAGAAGCAGGTAGGTTGAACAGTGCTAGTTACAAGAAACTACCTGAGTTTTGTCTACAGGAGAGCTTTCCTCACAGTTGGAACACAGATTTCTATTTATGCTTTGAACTAAATCTAGCACAGACATAACAAAGAATGCAGGAAAAGTCCATTACAAACATCACTACTTCAGTGGGATCTCATCAACGACCAGTTGTCGTTCCTGCCTACAGCAGGAAATCAGTGATCTGTAAACTAACACACATTTACAGACTATATATACTGCACTTTCCTCAGAGACTCAAGTGCACAAATGCAAGGGAGCTTTCTTCACTTTGAAAATGGACTGATGCCCCTCTGGCTCTCTCATGCAGATGTGCCTTCAGCCAGAGTCATTGTGCAACTCCAGTACTGGCGCTCTCCTTCAGTGCTCCAGGTCACCACTAAAACAACATTAACTACAAGAAAGCCATATAAAGTCATCCTGTCTATGGAGAGCCTATAAGAAAAACCACAATTAACAAAACCAGTATTTTGCCACACCCAAAACATTTTCTGGGCTACAGCACTGATGTATGTTTATCAAGCTGGGAAATGACAATCCTCTGCTGCAGGAAGTACAGTAGTCAGAATTTTTACATCCCTCTGATCAGTAAGGGGGAAAGCGAGTCCTGACTCAGTATGAACAAAGTGTAAAAACTGTTTGTTAAAGATTAAATTTTTCCTTTCTGCAATAGCCTAAGAAGAAGAGTACGCTTGAGAAAGACCAGAGAGTTTCCTGCTCCATGCCATCCCCCAACTCCCCATTCTCCTCTCAAACTCTAAGCGGAACTAGAATAACTGAAATCTGCAAGACGACTACTGGTAAACAGGGCTTGAGCTGTGGAACGATTTTGTTCATTTTGGACTATTTTTGGTGAATAAGGATCAGACTCCTAAATCTTTTTAATTTGTTAGTGCGGCAGTATTCATTACTCCTTGTTACTTCACCTGCCCCATAACTCCTGCTTCCATAACTTCATAACTCTGTAAGGTTCATGTTAACACTGCTACAGAATATTGACCAAGCCAGTATAAAAAAAAAAAAAATCATGAGGATTATTAGAGAGAATCCTATAATCGTAAATAATAGGAATCAGTCTTTTGATATTTTCTCATAGGTAATTCTGAAAACAAATCTAAAGTTTAATATGTTTTTTTAAAAACATTTGTACACCAAGTACAATAGAATGAGTCCCTCCCAACGCAATATCACAGTTCTGAACAAATGAATGCAAGTATTAAAGGTCACTTGTTAATTCATAAAAGTCTAATGTTCATAGAAATACCCAATAAGGCAAGTAAAAGTTCATGCGTTTCACTATGTATAATAAGATTGTCTTTTGAAGTCGCTGTGATTCCTAAATCACCTCTTACTCACCTTGAGCTTTTTCCTTGTTTAGAAAACCAAGCAGTTTTGAATAAAAGTCATCCATTTACACTTTTAAAGAGTTTTTAGAGGCATGGAAGAACCACCACAAAAATATAATTCCTGGGTATTTTTGATTGCAAAAGAATAAAACCAGAAAAATCAGATTTACTTACCTTGATAGGAGCTGTCGAGAACTTGACTTTTCGGTCTGGCTCAGGATCTTCCTCTTCAGAAAGTCCAGGGAACTCCTCATATTCACTATCATACATATACTCCTCCTCTCCCTCCAAAATTTCTTTACTGTCAGGCCCTTGGTTTTCTGGCTCTGTATCCCTATCATCATCAAAAGCTTCATTCTCTATTCCAAAAGCACTGAAGTTCTCTCTCTGCTTTTCTGCCACTTGCTCCTCCTCTTCTTCTTCAGTGTCCCCTTCCTGCTCTTGAACATCCTGAATATGTGTAACTGCACCCTCTTTCACAGACATCCCATCTCTTATTTCTTCCTGATTGGTCTCACCGCATTCTGTAAGCTCTTCTTCTGCCTCCAAGTCACTCCTCTTCCCTTCCTGTGCTTGATGTTTGAGCGGCTGATCGCCTTGATCAACATGATTGTTCTCCAAACCCTGTTTTTCATGCCCTGAGGTTTCATCTTGCACAACCAGCTCTGTGCAAGTCCCCTCCACGGGGGAAACCTGGTAGAGAATACTGTCTGATCTCCACTTAGCCTCCTGACCAGGTACACTGCTCATATCCTGCACATTTCTCTCAAGTAGTGGTTGCTCTCTTTTGTCTTTTTCAAGTGCCTTGCTCAGTTCATCTCTGGTGATCCCAGGCACTTTGGTGGATGCAGTCTTCTCTGAAGATCTTTCAGCAGCAGCAGATGAATCTGAACTGCACTGGCCTCTCACACGGTCTTGATTTGAAGTACTATCATTTTTGGACATTTCTTTGGATTCTTCAGTATCACTGTCACCCAGAAAACTTTCCAGCCTCCTAGAAATGGGTCCTGCATTCAGGAAGGAGGATTTGGGACAACTGTTGGGATGTTGCTGCTTCAGCTCCTCATTATCCTGAGTTTCAACTCTCTCCAGGGCAACCGGAAGACTCACTTCTGTATTAAAACTGAAATGGTCCACCACATTGCTGCAATCAGGAGAAGCTGAACCACGTCTCCTCTTATCCTCACTTCTTTCACATTTGCTAGGAGAATATCTGTCCCCTGAACTTCGTTGTTTTATATTTCTCTCAAATAGTTTCCTGGTCTCAGAAAATTTTTCTGCCAGAGCAACTTTGTCCAGGTCTGCCTCATCACTGCTACGGATGATCTTGTCAGCAGTAGAAGGCGCAGACAACGAATCCACAGGACTGCTGCAGGGGCTGGTACTTGTATTAAGAAGATTATTTTTTTGGACAATGAGGAAAGACGGGCTACCTGGAGAAGGTCCGTAATCTGCTGGAGGGGCCCGGCTGACTAACTTAGTCTCAGCAGGGGGACTACTTTCACAAGAGGGCGTGGAAGAGGAGCCTCCCATCTGCAGAAACATATTTTTGATCTTGTGCACTCTATTGCCATAAGTGGCAGCTCTGCCTCGACTGTGTGGTTCATTTCCCCCTGCATTGGAAGAGGTGCTTAGCTTCTGCTGAAGGCCTGTTTTGTTGCAAGTGTTTTCGGGATTGTTTACTCCATCAAAAGAGCATTTGATAGCATGGAAATCAGATTTATATGCATTTCTGTGTGGAGAAGCACTTCTTAAAGTCCTTTCCCCTTTGCCTTCCGTCTTCATCATTGTCAGAGAGAAAGCTCCCTCGACTCCGGGGCAAGAACAGGAAGGAAAACTCACAGGTGCAAAGCTTCCCGCCTCCAACACCACGCAGACCAGATCCTGCAGAAGTCTGGAAAGGAGCGAGACTTGAAAAGCAGCCTTTAACTCAGACAGCCTCCGTGCTCACGTTGAAATGGAGTGCACCAGAGTATACGCAGAGAGAAAGAAATCACAGCCTGTGAATGGCCCCATCGGATATTATCTCCACTGTGGATCACAGCATCCAGAAAGCCATCTGCAGAGAGACAGAGAGTTTTAATTAACTTGGGACCTCGCTGGTGTGTGACACGAATCTAAAACTTGCCGCTCCTCCGGGTGGGAAACGCCATTCGAGACCTCCCCGCGGCTGCCAACGGAATAAAGCCCATTGTGTCGGCCGGGGGAAGCGCAGCCCCAGCTGCT